AAAAAGTGTATGTGTGCGCGCGCGTGTTTTGCACACTTGTTGGGTCTAGTTTTTTTATTAACTAGGTCAACTCTCTTTCTCAATGGCATTGCACATACCTGCCTTTTGATGAGGTTCATAATGTGTATTCATTGTTATTTCTAGTTTGTTCTTTTATTACACAATGATTGAATGTTCCGTTGATGATTGGAATCAAGTCGAACAAGTTCCAACAGTTTGGATGACAACCAAATTGGGAAAATCAGTTATAGGCCCGTTTCTGCGAACAACTAGGATCACCTCAACCCAATATGGAAATCTGCACCCCTGAATCACATGTAATCTCCCCATTGTGTTTTCCTCACTTGGTCTTGACCACACTACTTCAACCACACAGGCCCATTACTCCAATTTGTCGACCATGCCGCTTCCTCCTCTACTCATCACCGACATCGCCTCATCTACCATGTTATCTTGCCGCATCATCTCTATTGTAGCAGACGCAAGCATCCCTCCTTCGAGGGCCCCACTTCATTTGTCCGTCACAAGTACCCCATATCCTTGTCCACCGGTCACCTCTCCTTTGTCATCAACATGTCACCTAGGCACTTTGAACTCGAAGCCCGAGTATAGCTAAAAAATACAAACAACAACATTTTCCAATTTTTAAAATATAATTTTCAAGACTTTGGGCTTAGGCTGCCCAGGCGTACCGATATGACCAATCCTTTTTGTCGCCCATGCTCATAAAATTCCTATTTGCCGCTCGCTGCGGCGAATTGTCATTGATTCGCACAAAGGGAGCCACCAAACTAGTACGTGGGCCGGCCATTTAGCGCCAGGAAGAGCTTCCACTTCTGGGAGCGTTCCAGAGTGTTCCAGCCTGTTTTTATTTCATTGTTGTTTTTATATTTTTTGGCTTTCTTCTCGTTTTTTATTTTTCTAGTAAAAAATCTATAAATTTCAATATCTTAAAAAAACTGTTCAGAATTTCAAAACTTATTTTGTTTTTAAAAAATGTTCATGTTTTCATAAGTTGGCCACGTTTCCCAAAAAATGTACTTGTTTTCGAAAAATATTCAGTTACCCAAAAAAATGATCACGTTTTAAAACTTGTATGCTTTTAAAAAATGTTCGCATTTCCAGAAGTTGTTCACATTTTCTAAAAAATGTTTTGAATGTATGTTCATGTTTTCAAGATTTTCTCAGAATTTCAAAAAATGTCAATGTTTTGAAAATTTGTTCACAATTTTTTTTAAAAATGCATGTATTTTTGAAAAAAAATGTTCATGATTTCATGGAATGTTCAATTTTTTTGATTTTCTATGTTTTCAAATAGTGTTTAGAATTTTACATTATTTTTCCAAAAGTGGACGAAAAAATCGCGTGCTACATTATTTCTGTGCACTACGGTGTTTTCCATCACTACATGGTTCACCTTTTTTTTTGCACCTAAACTCGATTTATTCATTCAACAATGTTCATACGGATACAAATGGCGTCCAAGATCAAAACCAAAAGTATATTTAGTAAGGCTATGTGCCTTGACATTTGTAGTACGTCCTTCAAAGATGAAGGTACAATTCTAAGACTCAACGGCAGTAGATCTGGTTTCCTTAATGATGCTTGCATATGTTCCTACAATGTCTCTCCCAATATCATGAATCACTCCCTGGCAATCTGAGGCCACCTCCACATGTGATAATAGTAAGTGTTGTGCTATATCTAAAGCCTCCCCACATGCAAGTGCCTGTAGGGTGGTCGCATCTGTGATGCCTGTGTTTTAAATAACTGGAGGACCAAGAAACATATCCGTTGAGTCTATGCAAACAGAAAGAGCCTTCGTTTGAACTCCTCGAGACTACACCATCAACTCGATTTTTAGCAACGCCGGCCGCTGGAGGGATCCATCTTTGGGGTGGCTGTCTAGTGGTTGAGGCCGTCTGCACTCTAGTAGGTTTACAATCAGCAAGCTCTCTGATGTAACTCCACACAAAACTGTGTGTTGCATGGGGGCTTTGAAAACTCTGTTCGTAAAGAGCTTTGCGGCCAGAGTGGCAGATTGCCCATAGTGTTGCATGGGAGCTCCTACACAACGTTGGCGGCGCCGCGGAACACGCCGACCCTCATGCAAAACCCCTCTTGGGCCGACCCAACAAACGTGTTCGTTCATTCATTGCTTTCGCCCGATCGCAACCCATGTTCCTTCGCTCGGTCTGTATAGCCAAGTCAGTTGTTGATTAGTCAAACCACTTGACCGTTGACTTTTTGAAACTAGATATAATTTTTTAATCAATTTGAAAATAGTTCACAAAATTGGAAAATTTTCATTGATTTTTAAAAGAGTCCATCGATTTCGAAAAAAGTTCATCAATTTTGAATTTTTTTATTCAAATTTGAAAAAAGTTTATCAAAATTTGAAGAAGTTCATCAAATTTGAAAAAAAATCCACGCATTTAAGAAAAAGGAAAAACCGAATAAAACAGTTCGAAACCTGAGTAGTGAACCGGAAAAACCCGGTTTGGGAAGCTTCCCGAAACTGGGGCTTATAGAAACTGAAAACAAAGAGAATAAAAAGGAAGAAAAGAAGAACGAATTAAAAAGGATTGCGATGGTCTAGTGGTTACTGCAGTCTCTTCGAAGGAAGAGGTTGTGTG